CACACACACACACACACACACACACACACACACACACACACACACACGAAATGTTTCCTTTCAACAGATGAACAAGGACTCAAATTATAGTTTTCCTTTAAAATGTCAGCTTATAAGAGAGAATCCCTAAGTTTAGCAAGAAGCAACTTAAACATTAGTGTAAGTTTTCTACCAACCTTACTTAATAAGAATACTTTAAAGTGACCAACAGGAACTTTAAAATACGTACTGGCTTGATCTTGTCTGAGTGTGTCCTGAGTCTCTATGAACTTTTTTTTAAAGAAGACTAAAGAAAGCAAGTCATGCAGCAACCATGATCAACCACAATAATTTACTCTTCTGCTACTTATGGAAAAGAAATCAACTTAGTGTTCCATATTTACATCTATTCAATTACTAGGTAGGCTGTCATTGCTTCATTGTACTGCAGATAGAAAAGGAGCAGTGGCTGCTCTCCCAGAGAACCTGGGCTTGATTCTCAGCACCTGCATGGCAGTTTACAACTGTCTGCAACTCTAGTTCCAGGGAATCAATGCCCTCTTCTGCTCTCCATGGACACCAGGCACACACATGGTATACAGACATAATTGCAGACAAAATACCTATACACTGAATGTAAAATAACTAAAAAAGAAAAAAAGAAAGAAAAGAAAAAAGAGAGCAAAGAATTGAGAGGAAAAGGCATGAAGACAATAACTTTTTAAAGAAGTATTTTACAACCAAGTAGAACTCAGGAGTTATATATTCATAGTTGTACACAGGAACAGCTTTTCTAGCCTGTCATCTAATTGTTTTCTTTGTATCACACAAAAGAATTATGTTTCAGCCTTAACAATCAAGAACAAGAATCACGTACCTTGCAGATTATAAGCTGCCAACTGAACTGCTGTATCAAAGGGACACTCTAACCTGAGATCAAAATACAAATTTTCTGTCAATTTATAATCTTAATTTTAAAATAAATAGCACCTGGAGCATGTTTTTTTTCTTTACTTTGAACTTATTTGTATTCTCTTGTGTGCCCACATGTGTGTATGTAGAGGGAAAGGCCAGATTAAGAATCTTCCTTTCTTTTCACGTTACTATGTTGGAGACAGTGCTTCTCACTGGACCTGGAGCTCACTGTTTCAGCTACTGTGCTTTCCAGTGAGCCCTTAGCACTGGGGCCACAGTTGCTGACACTGCTCCTGGGTTTCATATGGGTACAGGGGATGCAAATTCAGACTCTGCCTGCTGAGTTATCATCTCTCCAGCCCTGAACTGAATTTATTTTCTAAATTATTTTCTTACTACTCAAGAATTTTACAGTTATGTACTAAATAATTTAATACTCACTTCCCACTGAGAATATCTTGTTTTAGCTGAAGAACAAATAAATACCTAAGAAAAATAAAAGGCACAAATTAACTAAATAGAACAATTAACTAGAGGAAAGGAAATCCTATCATTTTAACTTGAGAATATTTTTCGTTTTTCAAACAGGATTTTACTATGCAGCCCTAAATGGCTAGATCTTCCTGCTTGTCTCCCAACTGCTAAGATGACAACCATACCCTGAGAAAATGTTCTCTTTTGGTTTGGTTTTCCAAGTCAGGATCTTTGTGTAGTCCTGGCTATCCTAGAACTCACTCTGTAGACCAGGCTGGCCTCCAACTCAGAGATTTGCCTGTCTCTGCCTTCTGGATGCTGGGATTAGAGGTGTGTGACACCACTGCCTGGCTGAGAGAACCTTTTTTTTTTTTTCCCCGAGACAGGGTTTCTCTGTGTAGCCCTGGCTGTCCTGGAACTCACTCTACAGACCAGGATGGCCTTGAACTCAGAGATCCACCTGCCTCTGCCTCACAAGTGCTGGGATTAAAGGCATGCACCACCACTGCCCGGCAAGAACATTTTTAATTACAGAATTTCACTGCATAAATATGTGTAAGAGGAAAACAGTACAGGGAAAAAGAGGGCACAGAAAGGAGGAAGTGAGCAAGCACGTCTTAAGTAAGAGACGGGAGAGCAGGACAGAGAGCAGAGCGGAGTGTTGGAAGCATGTTGTGTAAATGGGCCTGATGATCCAACTTAACTCTGTCAACATACACACCTGCTAGATGACGGGTGTAAGGATAATCCCTTTGAATGAACTCAAAAGGAAATCCTTTGAAAAGTGTTCTTAACAACTCAGGTTCTTCACCAAGAAGCAACTCATATGCAATAAAGAGGCAGTGTAAAATAAAGAAACAGATATATCCTAACAGAAGACAGATTATAGTTAATGTCAATAAACATAAGATTGTAATTGATTAATATGGTATCAACCCTGTTTAAAACCCCATCAACTGACTCACTGGTCACCCCCAACGGATGCATGAAAATCAGCTTTTCATCTTTTACAACAAATCAAAGAATCTTAATATTTTAAGACAAGGTCTCACACTGTTGCTTAGACTAGCCTGAAATTCACTTTGGGATTCAGATTAGCCTTGAATTCACAGTAATTCTCCTGCCTTAGGTTCCTGAGTGTTGGGATTATAGGCATGAGCTATCTTATGTGGCTAGAATCCAACATCTTAAACATCTTGTTCTAGAATAAAACTTCATCTGACACCTTTATTGACAGGATGGAAGAATCCTAAAATCGGTCTTCTAAAGGTCTTAGCACTCCTGACACACCTCTGAATAGTGGTCTTACCGGGTTAGCTCTTCACGAAGATTATTTGGTTCCGAGGAATAAAACTTAACTCGAAGATGAAGACAATACGGTGAACCAACTGCCATTAAAAAAAGAAAAGAGCTTTAATTTTTATTAATTTACTAGTAATCTTCAGTCAGAAAATTTGCTGAAAGTTACTAAAGTATAAAAGGAAAGAACAGATTATTGTACTATAACTTCAAAGTAGAACATAGGCTAAAATTTGACAAAAAAAAAAAGTTTTAAAGTGTACCAAGCAGAGAACAGCATTATCACATTCATCTGTCAAACATTAATTCTAACATTTCAGGGTCAAATGATAATCTTAGTGGAACAATCAAACAGCCTGGAAAACCTGCTGATCTGTCCTTCTAGTGAACACTGAGGACCACCAACATGAAACAGCTCAAGACCAAGCACCCCACACTTTCAAATTCAGACCAGTGAATTCTATCCCAATATTTTATAAAGTTTGTATTTCACTAAGGCAGTTTAACTGCCCTGAAATCTGACACTACAGGGACAAAGGGACTGGACACTGGTATTTTCTCAAATTCTGCCAACTTAATAATACTCCATTTTATATGAATTGCTTCATTATTCTTTTTTTTTTTTCCTCGAGACAGGGTTTCTCTGTGGAGCCCTGGCTGTCCTGGAACTCACTCTGTAGACCTAGCTGGCCTCGAACTCAGAAATCCGCCTGCCTCTGCCTCCCAAGTGCTAGGATTAAAGGCCTGTGCCACCACTGCCCAGCCATTATTCTTAAGACTTATTTTTAATTGTATATATGGGGGAGAGGCTATTTGCATGAGTTGGATTCTAACCAGGGAAGATAGCTCATGCCTATAGCTCCACAGAGTACAGAAGAAAATGTCAGATTCCATGGAGTTGGAGTTACAGGCAGTTGTGAGCCACTGATGCAGGTATGGGGAACTGAATGGGGGTCTTCCTCAAGACCAGACTGTGGTCTTAACTGCTGAGCCATCTTTCCAGCACTGTTTCATTATTTTTCTTTAAAAAGAAATAGTTTTCTGGTCAAGGCTAGAGTGATGGCACACTGCTTAAGAGCAGTCATTGCTCTTACAAAGAACCTGGCTTTGACTGCCAGGACCTATTTGGTTCACAATCATCCATTACTCCAGCTTCCAGGAATCTTCTGACCTACCAGGGCCCTAGGCATGCACATAGTTCACATATATGCATGCAGGCAGAGCACTCATATACCTAATATAAATAAGTTTAGGTAAGACTTTTAAAAAGAATGACACGTCTTTGGTGTTTGCTAACTACATAAAGTCAGAGGTGACAGTAAATCTACCATGCATTTCTTACCAGTCTAGTACTATGCCTAGTCTGTATCATGAATTTTCAGAAAGACAAGGGGAGAAAATTATTATAGCCTTAAGGTCTCAAAATGTTTCCTAGAGAGAGGTAGAATCCTCAAAACAAAAACACCCAAAACAAACAAAACAACATCCCTCTCACCCCTGTAAAAAAATAAAAATCAAAATATTTCAACACAACTGGGTGGTGGTGACACACACCTTTAATCCAAGCACTCAGAGGTAGAGACACAGGCATCTCTAATTTTGAGGCCAGCCTGGTTGAATGAGTTCCATGAAAGCCAGAGCTACAGAGAAACCCTGTCTCAAGGGGAAAAAAAAGTGCAAAAACCAACAGTAAAAAAAAAAACCTAAACCAACCAATCAATCAGCCAATCAAAAAACTTCAACACAAGTTATTACCAAAGAGAAGTTAAATATTTCATAAAAATTCAATCTAATTTGTACGCTGTAAATGAGCCTCTTGAGTCTAGGTTAAGGTCAAACCCATATAAACCAGGCATTGAGTGGGGTACATTACAATGAACAAAGTTGAGAGAGCAGCAGCCACGCTGGCAAGGCACAGTAGAATACACAGAAACCCTAGCAAAACTTACGAGGCTGGAGACAGCTTCTGAGCATGAGGCCAGCCTAGGCTATATCTTGAGACTCTTGGCTGACATAACCCTTAGCCCACCCCAAAACAGCAGATGAGCAAAGAAACTCATAGGAAACATAATGTTTGAAATGTCCTTAATATTCAGAATCAGCGTTTCTGATGTTTTATTTGCACTGTTTTCAAATGATTTCCCAACACTTACTTTTTACTTGCTTTTTGATGCTTTTTGTACCATCCAACCAATGCTGTAAACAGAAAAGTAAAAGTTGAGTACTTATGCAACTGGTAGGACTTTAATAAGAGTTATTGCAACTTTGTTGACAACCACAAAGCAGTATTTCACAAAGCGACTGAATTTGAAAGAGGTAGCTCTTATGGCTTAGATTATACCACATTTTTCCCCAGTTCCCAAATAAACAGTTCTCGAGACTACTAGAGAAAAGAAGGCTGTAGATACAATTCAGCTATCATTACAAATATGTACATAAATAAAATTTAGAAAAGTATCAAAGCCTGGCCATTCCTTTATAAGATCCACTGGCAGACCCTAACAATGAGCAGAGAATGTCTCCTGAATACTGCAAAACTGACTATTCACCACTCAGAGAGCCAGAAGGGCTTTTAAAAAAATGAGATTTTTCTCAAAATTATGATGTCTATCAAATGAAGCAGACACTGGCCTTCTGCTTCACAAATAAAAATGTTTCTACTTGACAAGCAGAGTTTTGCTTACAACAGTATCAGCCTTTTAATTTCTATACCTCTTCACTGGGAATTGTTTGTAACACAAACAAGTCTGAATCAAGATGCTTGCACTGGCAAAGCACTGTCAGCTCAGCTCTCACTACAAACCCTTCCCATCAGGCCCTTACAGCAACAGGCTGAACTACCAAACACATGGGTAAGCTCTCCTAAGCACGCTTTCAATTCCAAGCACCAAAAGAAGGGAGGGTTCCTGTGCTAACTAGTCCACAGAGCCAAGGATAGAGTTTCAGTGATCCTGCTAAACAAAGAAGAAATAAGGCCACACTATTACCCGGCTCTGTTTGCTCTCCTTACCAATTATTTGCCTGGGGTCTTCTCTTTCTTTCCCAACATACGGAAACAAAACTGTACTAGCCGTGTGCCCTTCTACCCCCGAATAAGATGCTCTTGTAAATATTGCAGGTGGCAGCTGTACAACACTTAGCCGTTTAAATTGTTGGAGACCCCACTTTTAAACATCTTTCAGCATGGAAAATGTTTAGTTGTACAAATCTTACTGACAGGCAGAAAATATGATTTATTGGGAATGACTTCAACCTGGGACAGCAAATAGTGCTTTCCTTTTGCCCTAGAAACCCAATACTCAAATATCGCAGACTTGCGTCAGCCTAATGCTCTTACACACTGAATGAAATAAAAACAGTCTCTGTGTCTAGAATGTTTGCTCTCAGAACCACAAACCTGGATGTTGCTCAGGTTTTATTTCTCTTACTGTAGTTGGGGGTGGCAGCAGGAAAAAAAAAAAAAAAAAAAAAAACCCTATCCAGGCTGGTCCCATGCGCATTGTCTCAGGGAGCCCTGCTGTGTGTGGCACTGTACAAATGAGCACATTTCTCAGGCAGGAATCTTTATTAGTAGACAGCTAATGCTTCAAGAACTCATGTCTAGGGCTAGAGAGATGGCTCGGAGGTTAACAGCACTGACTGTCCCTCCAGATGTCCTGAGTTCAAGTCCCAGTAATCACATGGTGGCTCGCAACCATCTGTAATGGGATCCACTGCCCTCTTCTGGTGTGTCTGAAGACAGCCACAGTGTACTCATATACATAAAATAAATAAATCTTAGAGAGAGAGAGAGAGAGAGAGAGAGAGAGAGAGAGAGAGAGAGAGAGAGAGAGATCAATCGATCATGTCTAACTAACTAAAAAATAAATGTACAAATATCCAAGACAACAATCCGATAATAGACTGGATAAAACATTTAAATATGACAAAAGCATAATACAGCAATTAAAAAATGAAAGCAAATAAAAATCTGAAACAGATACTGGTATTTTCAGGGGATATAGGGAGGGGTGGCTGAAACCCTAGTCTATGTAGCCCTGGATGTGCTGGAATTCTGTAGATCAGGCTGGCCTTGGATTTCTGAGTCTTCCTTCTGATATTAAAGGTGTGTGCCACCATGTCTGGCCATACAGCTGTATTCTAAAGGACATACTGTGAAATATTACAAATTCTGTCATCAAAATGTACAAATGTATACACATAGAATGCATATTCTTTTATACTGAGGTAACAATAAAATAGTAAATGAGATTACTGGTGAGGGGCTGGAGAGATGGCTCTGTGGTTAAGAGCACTGACTGCTACTCTTCCAGAGGACCTGGATTCAACTCTCAAGCATCCACAGCGTGGCTCACAGCCTTACACAATTCCAGTTCTAGAGGATACGACTTCCTCTTCTGGTCTTTATAGGCACTGTGAACATGTGGTGCACAGACAGCCATGCAGGTAAAACACTCATACACAGAAGAAAAATAAAACTGCAAAAGTATTTTTTAAGAGATTTATTTATTTTATATATCTAAGTACACTGTCACTCTCTTCAGACACACCAGAAGAGAACATCAGATCCTTTTATAGATGGTTGTGAGCCACTATGTGGTTGCTGGGAATTGAACTCAGGACCTCTGGAAGAGCAGTCAGAGCTCTTAACAGCTGAGCCATCTCTCCAGCCAGAAAATAGTATTTAAAAGAACATTACTAATGATATTTTTCTGCTTTTTTATATTTTCAACTTACTCTGCAATGAAAACAATTTGTTCCAAAGAATAACATAGACCCTTATTATAGCATTTGATATAGATAATATATTTGTATGTTTGGGGGCAATAATATTAAAAAGCAGAGGCAGTTATCTGCACTTAGTTGGTATGTTGCAGATATATACAGTTATCTCAGCAGTTATGACCACTTGCTTCTCTTTCAGAGAACCTGAGTTCAATTCCCAGGACCCATGTCAGGTGGCTCACCTCTTAACTCCAGCTCCAGGGAGCCAATGACTCTTCTGGCCTCCATGGGCACCTGTACACATATATCATACACACACATACATATAAATTGAAAAAAAAAAGCACACAGCCAACAGTCTCACCACCCCCATGATCTGTCCACTATAAACTATACGTATTTCCTCAAGTATGGTTTCTTGTGATTCCTTCTCAACTTTCTTCAAATTGGAAGAATCATCTTTCATGTCTATACTGAAGTACATTTAACATACACTGATAAATTAATAGGCTACTTATAACCCCACCCCGTACTCCTCTTTCTCTTTTGCAAAAGGATCTCACTGTATAGCCATGGCTGGCCTAGATGTCATAGAGATTCACTGTCTCCTGAGTGCTAGGATTAAAGGAGTATACTACAACACTCAACCAACTAGTTATAAATTTTGAGGAACTAAGAGAAGGAAACAGAACACTTACTAAAAGCATACCTACATGTAAGAAATCTCTTCCCTGTTGGATCTATTTAAGACTACTTTCAGGAGCATTGAGATGGCTCAGCAGGAAAGGGCATTTGCAGGCAAGTCTAATGACTTAGACCTCCGGGACCACAGTGTAAGAGACAACAGACTCCTCCAACTCCCCCGTGAGTTCCCCCATGTGAATCACACGTAGGCAAACACAAAGTATCAAAACAAACGAAACCCGAAAGACTATTTTCATGATCACACTTTTCTACTCTTATCAATGCCCTGCCACTAAACACTAAGTTATGCCAATAGAGAAAGTGTTGGATGGAGGTAGATACCAAACAGTAATTTCAGTCTTCGCTATGGATTCCTGTAGCTCCACTCCAGGAAGACAACTCAAACAAACACATTTAAAGTGCAATTTAGGAGCTGGGGGAGTGCTGGTCACCATTCATATGAGGAAGGTCTGAGCTCATGTTTGCGGATTCTCAAGTCTGTTTTCTTTAATCTCCTCCGCATTCCATGGCCATAGACTGGAAAGTTTAGAGCTCAGACTCAGGCGCTGATGTACTTTCCTAGAACCAAGGTCTCCAAGAGTTATGTTTAAACTGCTAAGAAGATAAAGATGGAAAGCATGCAGATACAGATTCTTGGGTGTAAAACTGAAATAGTTTATACCTTAAGAAGAAAAGAATTCCCTCTGACTTCCTATTTTTAAAGTTTAGTTGACACTAAAAACTAAGATATTAAAAACAATATAGAAAGCTGTATTTCCTTTCACTCTCAGCAGCTGGTTATGGAAGCACAACTTACTCATGTGTCTTAAAAAGACAGTAATATATAATCACAAGCGTAACAGGCATAACTAACCAAAGAATGACCTAGGAAGCTTCTAAAACAACACGCATGCATGCGTGCATGCCCGCGCGCGCATGTGTGAGCGTGCACACACACCCACCCACCCACCCCAGGCCCTTTAGCAAAACAGTGTGCAAGCAGCACTTCACTGAGCCCAGCCTCTTGAGAGCCTGAAGAAGCTCCCACCACTGCTCAGAGGGCAAAGGGCTTAAAGCACAGAAATGTTAGCGAGCTTTCACAACAGTCTTCACAAGAACTAGCTCTGTGAGCAGAGGCATTTTTAACATTTTTAACTACTTTAGGAACTGTGTACACACACACACACACACACACACACACACACACACACAGGGGGGGGGGAGAGGGAGAGAGAAAACAGAATTTGTAATAAAAAACACTTCTGTTTAGTCCAGATGCTAAGAAATACTTCCTAAGTACCTGCTTTCCTTAGAGTTAACACTCTGTCCCAAATCATTTTATAAGACTTAGACCAGCTATTACAAAATATTTTCAAGGTATCTTTGCTAAAATGTCAAATTCATGGCTGAAATGCAGGTGGCCTAACTATGTAAATCACCTTTAAAAAAACAATATGCTTATTCTTTTTGCATTTTTGTCCTGCATATATGTATGTGCACCACATGAATGCTTGTATCTGTGGAGGCCAGGAGAGGGTACAGATCTTCTATAAGGTGCTTTTCTGAGGTATTTTGTCACAGCAACAAGAAAAGTACTAAAGTGCCTACACTGGAGCAAAAGCTATGGTTCAGATGTTAAATCAGCATCCTGCTCATTCACAGAACTACACTTCAGTTTCCAGTACCTACAGAAGGTAATCCTAGGGCCCCAGGCATAAATGCATTGCTTATACATGCAGGCACTCACGTACATAAAATGAAAATAAATAAATCTTTCAAACATTAAG